CACCCCCCCTGCCAGGGGGGGCCCAGCCTGCAAGGCCAGCGCAGCCTCTGCCAGTGTGGACGTGCAAGGAAGGTGCTTCTTTATAGCACCGCTGGACTCTGCAGGCTGGGATAGCAGAATGTCCCAGCCAAGAAGGTCCTTCAGAAACCTGGTGGTCCACTGCTCAGAGTGCAACCCGCTCAGAGCCTGCACGGGAGCATGCCTCATGTGAGGCACTTGGCTCATACGTTTTTTTGATGAAGTGTAAAGTGCAGATGGGAGAAGGCAGCCATAGCCATACCCTAGCACAAGGAGGTCTCTGGAGAGGAGAAAACAGCGCAGATTAAATCCTCGATGAATAATGAAGTAATCTGCATTTGTCAAAGTCCATTTGTTTAAAAATGGACTCGCAATGTCGTACTTCACAAATTGCATTAAATGATCTGTACTTGCTGAGCAAGAATCACCTCAAGCACTAGCTAGAAGGGATCTTCTCTGTGTCACAGACATCTGGTAACAAGCAGAGGGCCCAAGGACAGTGCATGAGTCCTGCCCTCAGCTTCTAAAATAAGACCCGTCTGTAGCCAGTTCAAAGACAAGCACATCTGGGACCAGCAGTTGGCGAAATGGCTATGATGCTGGCCTCCCATGTAGCTGATCATGGTTTGAGTCCCGGACCCGGTGACTCAAAACTCTTGCCGGGTGCATGTGCATGTGTGCCCAAGATCCCGAGAGGAGAATGGAGAAGGGATTGTGACGTGGCCATCCTCCCTGGGGGGGGATTTCTCACTTTCTGTCTCGGTCTTTCTGGAAAGCACACGTGTCCTTCTGTGGTCTGTGCAATTGTCTACACACATGGCAGCTCATTAAAAGCTTACTGAAATGCGGAACATTACAAAATCAACTCATCAGCTTATTGGTTCCCTGCTTACGCTGTATGAGGGAAAGGGCTAGAAGGCCCATCCCCACATACCTGACACATGCTGGAGAACAGCAAAGCAGGACAACCGCTATGTAACATAAGCAACTGGTTGGCCTCTCACCACCACGCACAGGCATGGGCTACGGCTTCCAGAACACTTTTGCTGTGAAAAATGTCTTTATGCCAGGATGAAGCTGTCAGTCCAGAGCACAGACTGGTACCTGTGCTAGGGGCAGGGGCAGGGGCAGGGGCAGGGCGGCCACCATCACTCAGGACCAAACTTTGCAAGCCTCAAAACAGCTTAGGTAGTGCTTGAGCCAGCTTAGGCCACTTTATCTCAAAGTTCTACCCAAGCTAATGCAATCTGCCTCGTCCAGGTCTGGATGATCCAGATAGAGGCATCTAGAACCAATGCCCATCATCCTCAGCGCTTCCACAGAGAAGGCGAGTGGGCACTGGGGGGCTCCCTAACCAGCAACATACAGGGGACCTCTACTCAGACCGGCTGCTCCTCAAGAGCCCAGAGGGTTTCATGAGAAAGCTTTGGGCTCACAGCTCAGGGGCCCAACATCACCTAGAGGCAGGTGGCACAGAATTACCTGGGCCCTCGCTCACTTTCTTCTTCCCAAATTCCGTCTTTGTCCTGTCTGTCTACACAACTGCATCCCACATCTCCTGAGGGCCGACTGCTTTCCCTCAATTGTGTCTTACATGTTACGAGCGAGCCACGGGCGCCACTGGTTCGGTCTTGCCCAACCGAGTGAGGAAAGCCCTGTCTACAGCACAGGCAACTTGGAACTGGAGTGCTGCCATGAAGTGGCACTGACTGTGACCTTCCAGCCTACCTCTGTCCTCCAAGACTCTGGTCTAGCCCAGAGACCTGCTGTTTGTGGAACTGAGGGCAGGTCCCTCTTCCCCAGGGGGCCCAAAAGCCGAGTGCCCCAAGCGGCTCTGAGTCCCCCAGGTTCTCACAAGGCCAGACCAAGCACTCTGTCTCACAGATAAAGGGGTTTAGAGGGTTCCAGTAAGGTCATGTGACCAGGAAATGGCAGAATCAGGACCTGAACCCAGGCTGGGCTCTGGGTACCCCTGGCCTCCGCTATCCCCCGATGGCTGAGGACTCACTGGGCTCCTTGAGGCGCAGCTGGACGGCAGGGCTGTCGCTCTTGTCCCGCTTTATGCCCAGCACTTCCCGCTCCCACTCCCGCTCGCGGTTCTCCTCCTCGATCTGCCGTTCGGCCTGGGAGCAGATCCGCAGGAGCCGCAGGCAGAGGATCTGGTGCAGCCGCATGAAGAGGTACCAGTTGTTGTTGACGTAGAAAAGGTTGTACACTTCGTCCAGCCCCCGCAGCTTCTGGGCTGCCGTGTTACTAAACAGCAGCTTGGACTTAGGGGGACTGCCCCCGACACCATTGTGCTTCTTGGCTGCTCCTGTGGCTTCGTCGACATCCATCTCTTCCTCTTCCTCCTCCTCCACATCTGAGAGGTCCCCTCTCTGAGCGAAGAGGAGGTCGGGGATGAAATGGTGCATGATCTGCTTGATCTTGTACTTGTCCTCCTTCTGAATGCCTGTCTGCCTCTTCACATGGTGGATGATGAGCGCGGCTGCATCTTCCAGGATCTGCTTGTCCTCGTAGGCGAGCGACAGGTGTGGGCCGACAGGCACCCCAGCATTCTCCTCCGTGGCCTGCTCTTGCCTCTGATGGGAGAGAACCATGAAAGGGATCTGTGCCGTCTACAGTGGCAGCAGACCTAGTGACTACACCAGCACACATCCCACGCGCATATTCAACCACAGAGGCTATTGAAACAGTGTTGTTTTTTAAAATCTGCTTAGCTCTTCCAAGACCAAGGGAGAGACAGACAGCACCCCAACAGGGAGGGCCCTGATGCTGCGCTTCACGCCAGCTGCGCTAGCCCCATGCACAGACACCTGCATGCCCAGTGTACTCAGGGAGGTCGCCAAACAGAACCCTGAGCCCTCCCCTGTGGGTCGACCTCACAGAGCACCACATTTCACAGCAGGGCCACCACCTGGCCTCGTACTGGCAACTTCCACCGACCCTTAGCAATAACTTTTATGTCTCTTCCAGAACAGGTAATATGGGCGATATAGTTCGATGCCAGAATATTGGTCATCTTCTGAACACTGATGACGTATAAGACAATGAGACAGAACTGGAACCACCTTTTAAAATTCTATGTTAGTATGTGAGGAGGAGACAATATGAGGACTGGAATTTATTTGAAAATATTTCTGGGGTCAGTAGGTGGTCTGGTGGTTAGGGTAGCTGAATCCACATGCTTTATGGTATGAGTCCCAGACACGGTGGTTTTAAAAACACATCAGACATGTATGCATGCATGCCCAAGATCCTGAGAGAAGAATGGAGAAGGAACTGAAGCACTGTCATCCCTCCTGGGGTGCTTTTTCCCCTGCAACCTCACCCCGATCCTCAGTGAGTGTACACGCCCTGTAGAAAATTTAGAAGGAAAAGTGGGCCAGCAGGTGGCGTGGTGGTTAAAGCGCTGGACTTCCACATGGCCAACTACAGTTCGAGTCCCAGACCTGGCGGCTTTCTTTCTTTCTTTCTTTTCTTTTCTTTTCTTTTTTTTGAGAGGTTTTTGCTATAGGGCGCGTGCACTCACCAGACAGACAGAGACAGAAAGCAAGAAATCACCCCCAGGGGGGATGGCCATGCTGCAATCCCTTCTCCTCTATTCTCCTCTCGGGATCTTGGGCACACACGCACACACACCTGGCGTGACTTTTAAGCCACCGGGTCCGGGATGCAAACCGCGGTCGACTACATGGGAGTCCAACGACACAGCCATTACGCTAACTGCTGGTTCCGTGGCTTTCTTTCTCATTCTCTTTCTCTTTCACTCTGTCCCTCTCCGGCCAAATTAAAATACATTAATAAGTAAAGTTAAATAAAAATAATTCTTTAAAAAAATAGAAAGAAAAAAAGGAAGAAGCTGTTACAGTTCCGAAGCAAGAATGAGCAGGTTTTTAGAGGGTCTCACTTTTATATGGCAAAAGGTAACTTCCAGAAATCAAAGTTATGCTGAACATAATGTGGGTCCTGAATCCCATATGGCCAACTACGTGGCTTGAAAACACAATGGGTGTGTGTGCGTGCATGCCCCAAATCCTGATGGGATGGAAAAGTGAAAAAGGTAGAGTGGTATGATCACACCCCAACTCTCTCTGCGAAACACACATGCCTTATGGCAAATGAAAAAACGAACAAAAGCCAAAAACTAAAAACCTGAAGTCCTCCTCAACGACCTAGAACCCCAGCTCACCTCGTCATAGATGCTCTCGATCTCGTTGAGCAGGCTCTTAGACCGCAGGACCTTGGTGTCATTCTGCTTGAAATTAATGCCCTGGTGGTCCAGAGACTTCAAGTAGTACTTCTCATTCTGCTCTCGCCACACTTTGTTAAAGCCTCGCTGAGCTTCTCGCCATTCTTCCTCTTTCATCTTCAACCTGGGAGTGGGAAGGAGGGCAAAAACAACAACAGGTGGGATTTGGAGACGTGCCAAACCGGTTTGATTTCCAAAGGTCTGTGTGAAATTATTGGTAACTTGGGATGTACATTATCATGCCAGCTTTGAACTAATACATGAGGAAATCACTCCTTCAGAGCTTACTTTAGGGAGTAATATGCCCTGAAGCCAGAAACCTCACCTAGAATAGTGATTTCTCAAACAGCTTCTATAGACCACTCCTGAGATGTCGTATGTTTTACTTGAACAAAGGGCTCTCTTCCTTGGCCCGCGGAAGCCAAGCTGAGCGTGTAGAAGTCTCTGCTGTGGGACTTGCAGAACCTTTATTTTAATGGAACCCCCAAAGTCCAAGAGCAGAGAAGGTGCCCAGGAATGTTCCTTTTGACACAGTCTAGAAAGCTAGGATTAGAATAGCTGATTCTGATGCCCTGAGACAGGAGAGAGGAGAGTAAGAACTGAACACCACTAGAGCTGAGGAGCAACGCACCCCATGGCCAGACAGTACATGCCGCTGGCCAGAATGACCATCAGGCTGTGCCAGCTCTGGAGGAGAAGACTGGGAGAAATCACACGGGGCATGTGTGCACTATGTGGTAAGCCAGTTACATTCTGGCAGGAGGCGGGGAGAGAGTTTGCTCTGAGCAAAGAACTTGTGGTGTGGCCCAATAGAACATGGGCTTAGAAAACAGCTCAGCTCAGTCAGCGGCCTCCTACTTGATGCCTGGACTTGGGTAGGTACATCAGCCCCACTACACCTGAGCCTGATATGAAGGCTTCTTAGGAGAAAGAAGCCAGACATTCTTGATTTTAAAAGGTAAACCAAATCTATTTTTTTATAATGGGCACGCATCAAAATGTACGAAATGAAGAGTAATTTCTCTTATGAAAAACAGGAGCCAGGGACCAGCAGATAGCATAGCGGTTATGTTGCCAGACTCACACATGGGCCACAGAAGCTCGAGTCCTAGACCCAGTGACTTGAAACTCATGCTGGGCATGTATGTGTGCATGCTCAAGATCCTGAAAAGAGAATAGAGAAGGGACTGCTGCATGTCCATTCCCCCCTAGGAAATGATTTCTCACTTTCTCTCCCACTGGCTCAGTCTCTCTCCCCAGCGAGCTCGCATGCCCTATGGCAAAAATCTTTTAAAAAACAGAAACAAAAAAACAACCAAGGGCTAGGAGGTGGCATGGTGGCTAGGGCGCTGGATTTCCATGTGGCCAACTGAAGTTCGAGTCCTGGACTGGGCAGCTTGTTATCTCACTTTCCCTCTCTCTCTTTCTCTCTCTTTGGTCAAACTGAAAAATAATAGTAAATAAAATTAAATAATTCTTAAAAACAAAATCTCCAAACTAAAACTCAGAATGGCATAAACATGGGTGGTTTACTTTGTTCTTTACTGTGTTAAAGTATCCCCCAAATTTACAATAGTGTAGTCTTCCACAACCTTCCAAAGTTTGTTTTCTCACAGTGGTTACAGAGAAGCCCAATTAAGGTCCACCATGCCTCTCTACCCGGATCCCAACAACTCGGGTTGGGGAGACACTAGGGTCTCTCAGGTGCACCAGGCCTGAGTTGAGCACCAAGTCAGCGAGACAGGCACTGTGCTTGCTAGCACAGTGCCACACAGGTACCTCTTCAAGACAATAGGGACGGCGATGGAGGGGTTCTTCCTCAGCCCGTCGATGATGTCGGCCGCCTTGTCTGCGTATATCCGCTGCAGCGCTTTCCGATGGATGACTTCTGAGGTGCCCCCGAGGGTATTGTCCAAGCGAAACTTGGCTTGTTCCTCAGCAGACAAGCGGGAGAGCTTCTTCTGTATTGCTTCCAGAACCCGGATGGTTGCCAGATTGGTCTCTAAAACTACATCGAGCTGGAGGGGAAGACAGGTAGAGGTGCTTACATAGGACCCCGACCAGAACAGAGTGCCTCAGGGGAACAGGGGGAGGTCAGGCTCCTGGGGGTGGAATGCCAACTGTCATGCTGGCCAACCACAGAGGGGGCTGCTCCCTCCTCAGGAAAATGGGGGTAACACTACCTACCACACTCGTAAGGTTGTTTCCTCAAAGACCATTTGAGAAGATAAACCAGTCTCAAGAGTAAGTTTTTGGACTTAACTTGAAATATTTAAATATGCTCGAATATGTAAACACGCGAGAGCCTGGTTCCCATCAGGAGGTAATGAGGAGAGTACCCCGAATTCCTGAAGGGGTTCACTGCTGTCTGCAGGATCTGTGGAACTCCTGGCAGTCGCCTTCTGGTGGCAGCTTCGCCTGTCCTGGTTAAATACGTGACTGGCGTCCTTAGAATCTTTTTACTAGGTTTCACACGGAGTCTGATAAAGACACAGAACTGAGACAGCAGTCCCAAGGGCCGACAGCCCACTGTCTGTTGGAGTGCTACCTATGTTTCCGTGACATTCTTCTTGTCAAGCAGTCCTGGCCCCCTCTTCCTGATTATGGACAAATGATGAACCATACTTCCCGGCTCCCTTGTGATGTGACAGAGCCACTCAATGGACACTGGCAAGTGAATGTGAGCTGAATGCAGTGTGCATCACTCCTCCTCGGCTGGAGCACTGAAGGGAGTCAGGGGTCTTCTGAGCTCCTTCCCCCTCTATGATGTGATGTTCCAGATGGTGGCACCTGTCAGCCTGGGCCCCCAGGAAATTCTAGTGAGCAAAACCTTTGGCTAACCTTGCACATGCACCCTCAGCTTCTGGAAGTCGCTGGTTCGGGAGATGCCTGTGCCATGGCATTACTAGCCTATCCTGACTAACAGAGGAGTGTTCCAGCAAACCGGCCCGTCCTGCCAATTCCTAAGAACCCCCTGTCCCCACACTTCGCCTATCTTCACCCTTGCAGTCCAAACAGGAAAAGAGGATGCTGCCTCTCGTTGGCAGGTATGGCAGCTAAGAGAACAGGAACACCCTGTTTACGAGCGGCGTCAAGCTCTGCTCTCTAACTCATCACTCGTTCTGAACACCATGGGGAACGAAGAAACGCAATGATCCCTTTCGTCAAATGAAGCCCCCAAAGAAGTTAGTATCTGCCATGATTTGGGTTTTTTTTTTGTTTGTTTGTTTTCTGTTGTTGTTGGGGGTTTGGATGGGAGGCAACTAGCTACAATTCCTCATTACTCGGGGGTCAAAGGGGTCAAACATCCGCCAGAAGGAACAGCTGAAGCAAGAGCTCAGGGGGAAACTACAGAACCCTCATCTGTACGGATGAGACAGAGATGCTGCCCACACGAGACTGAGCAGAGCCACGCGGTCTGTCATGGCACCACGTCAGGCACACTTACTTCCCCGTGGTGGCAGGATCCGTGACCCAGACATCCGAACACCTGGGAACCTGGGCCCACTTGGAGAACTCCCCCTCTCCTGATACTGGGGCTTTTTAAAATCAGCTCAGTCATTCATTCCATTTGCATCTCTTCCCCACTACTCTAGAATGAAGTCTCTAAGTTAACTTTCTTTTGAAAGGTGCCAAATGCTATCGATAAGAATTCCAGTGCACACAGAAGAGGGGCTTTGCTAACCATGTCCAGGTACCTGTTAGGAGCAATAGCACAGACCTTAAATCACTTAAAAACACCTTGGAGAAAGGCCCACGTGCCCCAGCCTATGTGGTGACGTCCAAAGCATGGGGAACTGCAGTGCTGGAAGCCACATGGCCAACTGTGGCTGAGAGCTCCAGGTCGACCTAAAAACACACCAGGTACACGTGCCCAGGAGCCAGAGGTGCTGGCCAAAGGGATCAGAGGGTGAGGAGACGCTGCGGAGGGGGAGCTCATTCTCTGTCTCTCACGTGTGCTATCGTTTTTTTAAAAAGGGACCAAGACAGAAAGCCCCATGGGTCTCAGGATATGGGTTCTCTACACCACATAAAACAATCGTCTTCAAACTGCAATTCAAACCCCAACTTAACATGCCGTCATTGGCGAGCCTTCAGTTCAAGGGCCGAAGCGGCCTCCATAGGTCACACTCGCCGTGGAAACCTCACTAAGTACCCGACGAGTGCACAGAGCGCTAACAAGCAGGGACGTGGGCCCCCGGCGCGCGTCAGTCTGAGGCAGCCAACCTCAGGCAGCAACAGCACAGTCACCCAGCACCTCTCGTTTCCAAACTTCAACCAACAGAGGAGGCCTACCTCAAAGCGTTCATCTTCACAACGATAAATATGTTCTTCGTACTGAGTCTTCTTGGAACTAACAAAGGTGGAATCCTCAGACCATGAAGGGAAAGACACCCAGGTGTCATTCAAGACCTTTGGGTAAAAGAGGAGAGACTGAAACAAAAGGCTATGATGCTTCTGGAGATCAAGCATTCTCAGTAAAAAGACAGATGAGGCTTGAGGGGAGGAAGGCACAGCCTCCACTACTCCACAGGTTCCTTCTTTGGCAAGTTTACAAAACGGCATCAGTAAGGAAAAGGTTCTGAACATAAACGTTTTCTTGGGAAAAAGGCTACAGAAGGTTCTTGGTTTTGTCATTCATAACTTTCCCTGCCGAAGGAGCTGACGGTGCAGAGCTGACCTCACTGGGGAAGGCCTTACCTCTTTACAGAGAGGGGTCCGTCCTGTACACTTGGGCTGCTGGTAACTCTTCGGAAGGGCTCGATAGCTGGAGCCCAACCGTTTGCAGGAGGCGTAATCTATCTCCATGGCAATACCCTCTGTTGCTCGTTCCTTTGGAAAGGTTTCCAGGTGTACAGATTCCTTATAGCCCAGAAAGTTTTTAAACCAATTAAATAATTCGGGGAATTTCCTGAAGAATCAAACCAAAATGCTGGTAAGTAATTAGAAACATGACACAGTTATCCTGAGGTGTGACTATCACTATTTGGTAGTGGGTCAGAATTCAGCTACCAGAGATAAATCCCGATGACAGTGATTACTTTCTGCCTAAAAAGCAAGGCTTACTAGAAGCTACAATGAAAGCGAGCCATAACCAGCTTTTTTTTAAAAAAATCAAAAATAATGCTTCAATGTTTACATAATTCTTAGGCTGTCAAATACAGCCAAGACGGTAGAATCCCGGAGAGAGGATCTGTCTCTGTCCCCATCCAGCAGCGGTCAAAGGAGCAGGACACCCTCATCTTGGCCAATGGTCAATGGAGTCTTCAGCATCCTTCCTGCCCATTTTCTCATCATCTTTTAATACTAAGTATTTTACTGTATGCTGATGCCAGTGTGTATGAAATAATTTTGTGAAATAGAAATTTATGAAGATTCAGCGAGGTAGATGTTAAGGTCCGACAAAAGTAAACATTTTGCGTATTATGGCACACATGTCACAGGAAATGCTTTTGTCTAGGCTTCCAATTTAGCTCTCTTGAATATTCACTGGTTCATGAGAAATGGCTCGGGAAACTCTGAAAGATTCATTTTACTACAAAAAAGAACAGACTTTCTGGGGTCTGAAGGGATTTGTACTTGAAGACACCAGTCAGCAGGGGTCGTGATGAGCACTCTGCAGACAGAACTGTTTTAAGTGTGCGGTAGCCTGAGAGACCTTCACGTGGCCGAGTCCGGCCTCCAGCCAGAGCTGCTGGACTACCTCCTTTGTAGCAGCGATGCTGGAAGAACCAGACATGGCGCAAGGAGAGCTGGGCTGACTGGACAGTCTGCGGGTCAGGAGTCCCCCATTTTCTCATCTTTGGAATTGAACTGTAAGACTTCTCAGGACTCACTGTGACGCTGACATGTGAGTCAATGACCCATCTCAATTAAGTAAGTTATGCCTCTCACTTATTCCCACAAACTGCGCACCACCTTGCCTCGACGTCATGCGTCAGGGCTAGGCCTTGCTTTTCACTTACCCCAGGAAAGGAGAGACCAGCTGCACAAGCTCAGCCCGAGAGATCACCTCCTGGTTAAAAATAACAAGACAGCGCAGGAAATTTTCATAGGCCTCTGCGCTCCGCAGAGCCTTTCGAACCTTATGGAAGCAACCGGAGAAAAACCATTAAGTGAGAAACTAAGACCCTGGATTAATTATTTTATTTTGAGGTAATTTGTGTGCGTGTGTGTGTGGGGCAGCAGATAATGTAGTGGTTAAGTCGCTGGACTCCCATATGGCCAACTGTAGTTTGAGTCCCAGATCCAGTGGCTTGAAAAATCACACTGGGCGTGTGTGTGCATGCCCAAGATCCCAGGAGGAGAATGGAGAAGAGATTGTGGCATGGTCATCCCCCTCTAGGGGATGATTTCTCACTTTGTCTCTCACTGTCCCTCTCTCTCTCTCTCTCTCTCTCTCTCTCTGGCAAGTTCACATGCCCGAAGGCAGAAACCTCTTATAAAATTAAATTAAGAAAAAAAAAAGAAAGAAAGAAAAGAAAAGAAATTGGTGGAATTTTGGACCAGCAGGTGGCGTGGTGGTTAAGGTTAAGGTGCTGGACTCCCACAGGACCCACCATGATTTGAGTTCCAGACCTGGTGGATTGACAATCACACTGGTGCATGCCCCAAATCCTGAGAGGGAAGTGAAGGCACTGCAGCGAGGCCATCACCCCTGGGAGTGATTTCTTACATCTGTGTGTCCAGTGAGCACAGGTGCCCTATAGCAAAACAATCTCTTAAAAAAAAAAAAGGTCCCTACTAAAATGTTGATGGATGAAATTACGTGCTATTGGGGATCTGTCTCCAAATAACCTGGTGTGGATGCGGATACACACCAAACAGGTCCCAGTCAGGGCCCAGCCTGCTGGTGCTGGGGAGGTGTGCACGTGAAGGACCTGCTGACTCATCTCTTTGATCTGCGTGCTTAGAGCTCTCTCAGAAGGCGAGATCCCAAACTGCACCTCCTCATACACCCGATTCTCCAGACTCGCAGGTACCTAAGCTTTTGCTGTTTCCTCACAGGTATTTACAGCAAGGGTGAATCCTGGTCAAAACTGATCTTAAATTCTGCTGATCTTTTAAAGGTAGTGACTTTTGGGACCAGCAGATGGCATAGTGGTTATGTCTCTGGACTCTCACGTAGTCAACCATGGTTTGAGTCCTGAACCCAGTGGCTTAAAACTTATGCTGGGCGCATGTGTATGTGTGCAAAATCCCAGTAGGAGAATGGAGAAGGGGTTGTGGCATGGCCATCCACCCTGGGGGGTGATTTCTCACTTTCTGTCTCTGTCTCTGCAGTGAGTTCTCGCATCTATAGCAAAAAAAAAAAAAAAACTCAAAAAAACACAAAAACAAACAAAACAAGTAGTCACTTTTGAAAATAAGACACTTCTGTGCTCTGATCTGAACCTCCTCCTGCCTCTGCTTACAATACTGAGCCTTTTAAAATCCAAAACCTACAGATGTCCAACAACACAGGCAAAGTGACACCTTCCCGGTTAGATGACCAATATGAAGTTTCAATTCCAAAAGTCAGTGTTTGGCATCATGGTCTTCGGTGGGGACTGCAGACTGTCACCAAACCAAGTGGTTTATCGCTAACCCCCACTCCACACGTCCACACACTCTCCCTGTCCATCAGGAGCCACATTACGGGTACGACCTTTGCGGGCTAAAGATGACAGAGCACTCCACTTTTTGTACTATACACAGTGCTATCTACTTTAATTAGCTTCTAAGTACACACAAAAGCAGACAGAAATCTAATCAGCATGTACTGAGGAGCCCCGCGGCTGCCAGCTAACCTGACGAAGTCGTCTAATCTCCAAGAGGAAGCCAGACACTGGGGCAGTCAACTGGACACCAGCACTGACAGCAGCGAGCGCAACCCTGGCTTCATCAGAACCACTGGGGAGCGTTGAGAGCAGAATTAAATCAGAATTCCTACAAACCCTGGATGTGTGTATTGCAAATGAGTAACACAGCGATTACAAAATCACAAGTCATCTAAGTCCTCACCAACAGGGTGGGCACCTCTGTGGCCCACTGTATGGCCTACAATGAGAACTGCATGCATCTTTCAGGAGGAATGACCCATTTCCTAAACAGCTGTCTTCCACAACAGAACAGACTGCATTCTGCTCCAACCACACAAAAGGAAAGGGTGCTACCACACTGTCTCTGGACTCTCACGTAGTCAACCATGGTTTGAGTCCTGAACCCAGTGGCTTAAAACTTATGCTGGGCGCATGTGTATGTGTGCAAAATCCCAGTAGGAGAATGGAGAAGGGGTTGTGGCATGGCCATCCACCCTGGGGGGTGCTTTCTCACTTTCTGTCTCTGTCTCTGCAGTGAGTTTTCTCATCTAAAGCAAAAAAAAAAAAAAAACTCAAAAAAACACAAAAACAAACAAAACAAGTAGTCACTTTTGAAAATAAGACACTTCTGTGCTCTGATCTGAACCTCCTCCTGCCTCTGCTTACAATACTGAGCCTTTTAAAATCCAAAACCTACAGATGTCCAACAACACAGGCAAAGTGACACCTTCCCGGTTAGATGACCAATATGAAGTTTCAATTCCAAAAGTCAGTGTTTGGCATCATGGTCTTCGGTGGGGACTGCAGACTGTCACCAAACCAAGTGGTTTATCGCTAACCCCCACTCCACACGTCCACACACTCTCCCTGTCCATCAGGAGCCACATTACGGGTACGACCTTTGCGGGCTAAAGATGACAGAGCACTCCACTTTTTGTACTATACACAGTGCTATCTACTTTAATTAGCTTCTAAGTACACACAAAAGCAGACAGAAATCTAATCAGCATGTACTGAGGAGCCCCGCGGCTGCCAGCTAACCTGACGAAGTCGTCTAATCTCCAAGAGGAAGCCAGACACTGGGGCAGTCAACTGGACACCAGCACTGACAGCAGCGAGCGCAACCCTGGCTTCATCAGAACCACTGGGGAGCGTTGAGAGCAGAATTAAATCAGAATTCCTACAAACCCTGGATGTGTGTATTGCAAATGAGTAACACAGCGATTACAAAATCACAAGTCATCTAAGTCCTCACCAACAGGGTGGGCACCTCTGTGGCCCACTGTATGGCCTACAATGAGAACTGCATGCATCTTTCAGGAGGAATGACCCATTTCCTAAACAGCTGTCTTCCACAACAGAACAGACTGCATTCTGCTCCAACCACACAAAAGGAAAGGGTGCTACCACACTCTCTAGCCCAGCTAATCGTTCTAGCAGAGTAAACGGACCTCTCCCCACAATTTGAACTTGAAAACTGTTACTGCAGTATGACCACCCCCTTCAGGGAGTGACTTCTTACTTTCTCTTTCTCTCTCTTGCATCCTCTAGCAAAAACAAACAAAGAAAAACAAATAAAAAAGTCTTAATCAGCATGATGCCTTCAAAACAAAACTTTCTGGAGGTTGGAGCGATATTCTTTGAGTCTTAATAGTGAACGTCAAGTCTAATTAATTTATTACTCACCTTATCAAAAAATAACGATTCCGTTCCTACACCATGCTTGCTGGCGTCTGCCATGGAAGAATCCTTTAGGCTGATCAATTTGGGTTTCTTCTGCAAAGAAGAGAAAATACAAACATGTGAGATTCGAAGGACAGATTTCTCTACATTTTGTTTGGGTCTCTATTCAACGGTCCCATCGGTGAAACCACGGCTGATTAATAATTGGAAACACATGAGAGAATTCAAGCCCCAAACCTATGTTATACTCATCTTCCATTTCAGTTTGCCTGTCGATTATTTCTCCAAGAGGCTTACAGATCATTCTACTCTCCAAAGACTCCCTACAGAAATGACTGTAGCTTTACCGGGACAAAGTTTTAGAATTAATATCTCTACTTTTCCCAGAGCCCACAGATAACTTTATTGGAAATCTAATGCCCCTGCCCTGTTTTCCTACCTGGTGGGGAAGAAGAGGTTTCTTGAAAAAAAAAAAAATGCTGGTGAACATTATCTGGGGAGGACAGAAATCTATCTTTAATAACATTTTGACTTTATTTTTATTTTTTTCAAGAGAGATTTTTGCTATAGAGCATGTGTGCTTGCTGGAGAGACAGAGAGGCAGAAAGTGAGAAATCACCCCCAGGGGGGATGGCTACGCCTCAATCCCTTCCCCATTTTCCTCTCAGGATTTTGGGCATGCCCAGCGTGAGTTTTTTTTTTTTTTTAAGCCGCTAGGTGTGGAATTCGAACCACAGACAACTATGTGGGGGTCTAGTGACATAACCATTACGCCATCTGCTGGTCCCAACATTTCAATTTTAAATTCAGGAGAAAAAGTACAGTTTGTTTACCAAACAGAAATGATCTTGTCAGCAATATTCACTCTGACTAATTTATTACTGTTCTTTTAAAGGAATAGACAGGCCATGATATAACCCACCAGGCAAGAATTTCCTTTTAAAACTGACCTCCCACTGTCTGTGAAGAAACACACAGACCTTGTGAGGAGCAGGACATTTACCTTGGCGGTCTTAGAGGGTGCTTTCCTAGGAGCCATGCCTCTGCTTACGCGGCCTGAGGAGATGGTAGGTGGAGCCTGTAAGCCCCATATAGAGCTCCCACCTGTGGGTAACCACGGGTGGGCGGAGACAAAGCCAAGAGCAAGCAGGCACTGGCCCATTCTTGATACCCACATGCTGATTCTAATTGCCTAAGCTAGGAAAAAGAAACCACCACCACGCTGAAAGGGGAGGGCTGTCCCGAAGTCTTGGCAACACCTACTACGTCAGTCCTCTCTGACTGGTCACGAATGCACCAGTCACCTGTCATTATCAGAAATCCCACAAGCTTTGTTACTCTTTCGTTACTTCTGCAGACCTGTCCATCTTCCGTGTTACACACTGTCTTAGAACTGACTGACTGAAGAACTCGACATTTAGCACGCACACATACCCCCCCATCACTGCGGCACTGCACCTGGGGAAGGGCAAGCGTGGGTCCTTGCGGGCAGACCTCCCCTCATTTACTATCACAGAAACACCACGTGGTGATGACAAGGCGCTTAGGACCTCCCCTGCTCCAGCCCAGAGGGCCTGCCTTGAAGATTAGGATACAGAGGCAGCAAACAACAACAACAACAACAACAAAAGAGTTGACAGCTCACAGCAAAGGGAAGAGAGAGAGATAGAAACACGAATAAAAGCTCAAAAGAGTAGAGCAAAGCGGCTGAACAGGGTCATCCCATGCAGAGAGCTCCTTCAAGTAGACACAGTCTTTGCACTATCGCTGCTGGGCGAGTGAAAGCTCTAAACAAAGCCACCAGCGACTGCTGGGCTTTACAGGTAGAAGAAGTCAGAGCATTGGCCAGAGAAGGCCAGGAGAGGCTTGTTAAGAACCAGAAGGTGCTCCACAGCTGAAGCCCTGGGCTCTGCCTCCCCTGGGAAAGAATGAGCACAGAACCAGCCACGGCAAGATGCAGGGGTGCTTTTATTCGTCCTTTCTCAACCCACAACCCTCCCCCTCAGGGTACCTTATCTCTTCGTCCTCGGGCAGGGGTACCCTAACACACTGCAAAGCCCAGAAAAGCTGCTTTGTGCCCACACCACCCATGAAATACATCAGCTGCAAGTGGCGAGAGCCGGCCACGAGCACGGGATGAGATGGAGGGCCTCTCCAAACCACCTGCCCTCTGCAAGTGCTCGGTGGCATCTATGGGAGCGGCGCTGCCCACTCTCTCACCTTCACTGGTGGGGTGGTCCCCGTCCCAGAGTGCCTGCGGATCTGGCAGCCATTCTGGCTGGGCCTCTGCGGCTTATTGTTTAGCTGGGGCTTCTTCACAGTACCTCCATGGTCATTTCTCACCGAATCGACTTTCTCAGCGGTTGTTTTGCTTAAAAGCTGATTAGGACACATGAAAGACATTAATTTCCTACCAAAGCAAAGAGCATCTAGGAAAAGGCCCCCGACTTCAGCTTCCCAACTTCTCTAAGGGCCAACTCTATGTGGCACACTCTTCTTCTACACAAAACTTACCACCGAGCTGTTGGCATCTGGCAGGAACTGTCCAAACTCTGACAACAAATCTTCCTGGTTTTTGAACAGGCGAGCGACCTGGGCATACACCTCCTGCTCTGTCAGTGCTGGAGTGTAGTTCCCTCCGGCTTCCTTGGCATTTCGCTGTTCTTTCTGAGGAATTGCAAATGGGCGAAGTTCATCTTAGAGGTCCGCTGTCTGAAGTCACTCACCTTTGCACGCTTTCTGGGATGTCTGATAGGAGCACTATTAAGTTCCCGCTAATGCTGCACTTAACAAGTCTGTGTTCTTATTCTTAGCACCTGGCTTTTAAGCCAAAAGAGGAGTTGAAGATGTTCAATGATAATTTAAAAATTCCTTATAAAACTCAACAGTGACCTGATGGCTAAGGGAGCCTCATCCCACATGGCTGACCACAGTTCAAATCCTGGCCCCGGAGCCTTGGAAAACACCGAGTGCGTGCATGTGTGCCCAGAACCCTAACGGAATGGAGAAATAGAGCAAAGGGACTGCACCGTGACTGTGCCCATTAGGGGAATGTTCTCCCTCCCTCCCTTTCTCTGGTGAGCGCGCACGCCCTCCGGCAATTTAAAGGAAACCAGAAACGAGGTAGCAAATGTGAATTCCCAAGGGAATCACTAAAAATGGATGAAAACACAAAACGAGAGAGATTTTTCCTCCTTCTTACTCTAAATAAAGTACATAAACCATCCTTGAAATTTCTCAGAAAATACAGACATCCACTTCACAAGACAGTGACTTTAAAATCCCAACTGGGTGCTACAGGGCAACTGAGATAGGCAAATAGATCCCACCTCAGAATGGCTGACTGGCAGACTCGCAGCTGGAATTAGCAGCACAACAATGGTCATGTTCTTCCTGAACTAGATGCCTTCGCAGGGAGGCCTGGCTCACATGGGTTGAACGGGCAACACTCTCACCTGATATGTGTGCAAAATCTCCAGGAATGCTTTGTAGATGTCCGGTTGGCCCTGGAATCTGTTCTTGATCTTATTAACGTAGTTGATAGCATGATTAAACTCCACAGGCTGATTGTTCTGCAGGGATGGGGCTGTTCCCAACGAGATTGTCACTGGTGTGTGAGGCTGGACCGGTGGAGAACGTGGGGATGCGTACGGTGGGAGCGGGGGAGTCTGCTGACTGGCTGGAGTATGTGCTTGCAGTTGAGAAGGCTAAAAAGAAAAAGTCTTCATGACCCTCAGGAATACAGATGGCTTGATATGGGAAAGAAAACTCAAGCTCTGGTCTGACAGGTGGCATGATGGTTAAGGGTGCTGGACTCCTACATGGCCAACTGCGGTTCAAGTCCTGGACCTGGTGGCTTGCTTTCTCACTTTCTCTCTGCACCCCCTAGCCCCGGTCAAATTAAAATAAAGTTAAATAAAATAATTATTAAAAAGAAGAGAGAGAGAGAAAGCTCAAGCTCAAGGAACACAGGGTCTGATCAACTTACACCCTTTACAACTCTGGCTGGACCGTTTCAGTTCAACTCCAACCACACTGGGTTAGGGTGGAAGGTCTACACACCTGATATCAATATCTTGGTCTCAAATGTTCTAAATGCAACCTTAAAACTAGAGCGATGTTTTCATATACAATTTTTAAGCTCACTAGCTCAACAAGTGCAAACAGAAAAATCTCACTGCATGTGTATCTTTAATATAAAAAAAAAAAAAAAAACCCACAACACCTGAACTGCTGCAGTAAGCCCACACACAAAGGTCTCCCAGGCCTGGCTGCAGTGGTACGAGTAGGAGGGGGTGCCGCCATGTGTGGCAGCTCAGGCTACCCAGAGAGGCCTAGGCAAGGCTGCACTTGGGGCTCAGGCAACTGGGATCCTAGAGCAAGAGGACCAGCCATGCGAGACCCTGGCAAAAAAGACCTCTTTCAAAAAAGTCTTCCAGGCCAGATCTGGCCAAGAGATTTCTCTCAGATGATAGAAATGTCCTGCACTTGAACTGTAGCTAGTATGAATGAAAAGCTAAATTTAACTGATTTAAACTGGAATATACTGATGTGACTAACGGCTACTGTACCAGACAGAGCAATTCTAGGCAAAGAACCCCCTACCATCATCACCACCTTCATTGACAGGAGCGTCTGCTTGGCTTCATCTGACCTAACCTGGTAAATGAAGTAACTGTGGAAATGATGACCTCGTGGGAAATAGCTTCATTTTTTTTAGGATGTTCATTTCTGTCTGTGCTAAGTACTACTAACCGTCACCACCAGTTGGGATTCCGACTGACTTAATAAGCAGAAATTGGAGATGAAAGAGGCCTTGTAGGCGGCTGTGTGATTTACACAGACACACTGAAACACATGAAGTGGAAGCATGTGCATGTCACAGGGATATGATGACTGTATCTTTTCTCTGGACCTTTGTCTGGGTTTCATGTAAAGGGGAAACGTCTGAAGAGCGTGCTGCCCAGGGGTGCGTTTCCCCTGCCACTGTGCCCCAAGTGCTCACCTTGCTGACTTTGGCAGGTGGAGGCTGAGGAGCTGGCTGTGCAGGAGCTGGGGCCGACTGGGCTGAAGGCTGGGAGGGATGCTGGGCTGGTGGCTGGGGCTGGGGCTGGAGGCCATGGGTAGGGATCTGATGAACCTGGCCAGGAGTTGTCACATTCACCATGTCATTGGTCTGCACCTCAATTTTGTAGCCAGGGGGCAAGAAAGTGTTGAAGCCCATTATCAGGTCAGGGTGGCCTTTGAACAGCTGGGACACACGACTAATCACTCCCGGAGTGTCGATGCTGAAAAAATACCAAAGGAAAAGTGATAAAAGGCAGGTCAGCACATACCCTAGTGAGAAAGAAATTCACTTTCCACTAGGCTTTCTCTACATGGGAAAGTAGGCAAAAATCTACCTGCACATTGTAAAATTAACAACGTATGAAGAACTCTGAAATTCCAAACCACCTAGGTTTAGGTGCACAGAACCTTGGCCACAAATTTGAACAAAATAAACTTTCATGGGAGCAGTCAAGCAGATACACCACGGCCAAACCTGACACCGGGATGCTCGAGATCCGGCCTTTCCAATTCGCTGGGCGCATGGCTACACTGCATGGCTGTAATTTCATCAATAAGGTAATATGTAACACGAAGGCATGGTCCTAAAAACTCAACCTTGAAGGGAGCGTCCTCTATCTTTCCGAAGGTAAGAGTACACATCGTCCCTCCAAAATCATCAGGGCAAGTGCCAAGCATGGGCACAACCACAAAAGTCAGTTACCTCTGAGATTTAAATTCCTTCATGATGTCCAAGAAATCATTGTAGACCTGAGGCTGACTGCCAAACTGCAGCTTCACCTGGTCAAGATAGGACAGCGCATCCTCCACCTGAGGGAAGGATAAATCTCAGGTTATAAAAAGGAAGCAAGCCAAGAATTATGAGAAACAACTCATGCCTAACTAAACTTAACACAGCAAATGAAACAGAAATCTATACTGAATAATAACATCAACACATCATTCATTTATTGACTTCAGAAGGATCGACTAAGCTACAACAGACCAGACTCAGTGCTGGTACGAAGGTTCCAATGACAAGTGCCACTCCTCCACAGACGTCTGTTCACATCTGGGACCGCCCAGCCTCCAGCACGATCCAACATAACTTCCATTCGATTTGAGGCTCTTAGTCTCAGGTATTTTGTTATACAAGTATTCTTTATAGACTGAGACACATGGTACTATAAGAGTTGTCTGAACTCCCGTGATGGCCATGGATGATCAGTCTCAGAGCTGCTATCGCACAGGGTATAGACAATACCTACCTGTCTGATGGTGGCTGTTTCTGTGTTGTACGCATAACAAAACAACTTATGCTGAAATCTAATGGACTATTTGATTCATATGTAGAATTTTCCATATTGAAATGCTTCATTAATGACCAAACCGATGGAATTAACAACTTAACCAAGTTTGCAGAAGAAACAAAGACATTGGAAGATATTTAAGAATAGCAAACATCATCACATGACAAAAGGAGAGTTATTAAAAATTAACAAACATAATACAGTGTAATATAACCACTGCAAAGACAGGAAACGTAAAGAAGCCCAAATGAAAGAAATCATGTGTGGTTATGTATGTCTTCAGAAGAAAAAGGTACTGAAAGCCATACTTAGCCACTGTTTAAAAGTTAGCAGTAAAATAACACAAGGCTTTAAAACTCAGCATGATGCCCACATCGTAAATGAGACACCTGCATGTGAGTCTAAGGAAGAAAAGCTTTCATCACCTAAGTGCTCAGGCTGACTCTCGATAACACACAAACACAGGTCTATAAAACATGACTAAAGCAAACTTGGCTATGGTTATCTCAAAGCTACAGATTTTAAGGAAGCACCTGGGGAGACCCCCCAGGCTTTGCAGAGTAATATTTCTGGCTGACCAACAGGCACTTATTATTAAGGTCCTGAACCTCTGGAAGTTTGCAATCTTACTGAGCGACACACACCAACAACTGTAAGGAGAACTTGCTAAGAATATGCCAAGTATCCGTGCTGCTGGCATTCAAATGATAACTAAATCACACCAAACGTGCCTCGAATTATCCAAATCTCACCTTGTCACCAACCTGCCAAAGATAAAATAGTAAGTACAGACAATGCTCACGCCTGAAATAACCTCTGCAGTCTCACCTCCTTGCTGTAGAATATACAAATGGTTTATTGACGTTGATTCAAATGCTCGTAAAGCATTTTAAGACTAACCCAAAAATGGCAGGTAATGTGGGAATGCTGAGCTAAATTACACGGAGGCACAGAAAGCATTTTATGTCTCATCACTGGAAAGGAAACTCAACAAGTTATTCTATTTAAGAACATAGTCAAGAGCTCGTAACTAAAAGAACAGAGTGAGAAGTCCCAACTCTACCTGTGACTCATGCCATAACCCTGAATCCGAAGCCCTTCCTTGCCTCCTTGCCAATTTCTATAAAACAAACAAAGCACAATCCATACACTTATACCTCAGGCTCCTGGGAGGAAGTAGAGCAGGCACTATGCTTTGGATGGCTAGCTGGAAAAGGCTACCAAAAAAATTGTTTTTTATGAGTTGAAATCCCCAAGTTTCTAAGTTTTCTGTAACATCAAGGCACTAACTCCTAAATGTAGTATTAATGTGAATTAAATTACACTAAACCAAGCTTCAGAAATTTTTTCAGAGGTGGGTGAAGTGCTAAAGTCTGTATCAGCAACACATTCTGGCATGCAGCCAGCAATCTATAAGCAGAGAGTGAAAACATTTTTACAAAATGCCAGTATTGCTCTTAGGACACTTTTCAAAGACAACCCAGGGCAAAGTTTCAGGCCCAAATATGTGCACTCTCTTTAAAGACTACGCTTTAGTCAATGGTTAATATTATTGAAGTCAATATAGATAATAAATTACACAAAATTCTTCTATAGAGCTTAACTTCGATATGCTTTGTGTCCTTAGGCCAATAATAAACAAGTCCCTGAGAATTCACACCAGTGAGGGCAGGGCCAGGGAGAACTACACCAAGTCTCAGGGAAACAAAGAGAAGTGTTCTTCATGGGTACACTGTCCATTTCTCCCTGCAAGCGGCTTAATATATAACTGGGCTGTTATGATCAAAGGAAGATCTAACATCTTACTGCTTTATAGTTCTTTAATTCATATTTCTGATATTCAATTTTAAATTTTATCAAAGTGTAAAATTAGAAAAACTGAAATCTGGAACACTTGCAACAGTCACACATTTTGGAAACTAACACCCAAGAAAGTTGACAGACCAGGTTAGTTGGGAACACAAACTCACTTCTCAAGATGCCTCATGAATTTCAAAGCACTGAAAACCAGCTGCACCTACTCAGCAGAACAGATGAAAACGGGCACTTCATTCACAATTATAGCTTCCCCCAAACCTTATAAAGGTTTCCCAAAAAGGAATCTGTGTTTTACTAAGGATGGGCTTGAAAATGCCAGACAATTCATCAACAGGAATAAAAAGATTAACATGTATCACTGAGCCAGTTTACTGCCCAGGTCAGTAGTGGATCACGTGTACACTCAATGAAACCTGCAATGCTAAGAGCCAAGCCCTCAGAGGAAGCAGCCAAAAGGAGAACTGTGTCTATCTGAATGAGGATCACCCCTGGGTCCTGACAACGTCAGGTACCTCACATTCATTCACAGTGTTGTGAATATCTCGAGTGTACTCTTCTCCAGACCAGGCACTGATACCAAGACGGGACACACAGGCAGGTTTCAAAACAGAAACAAAGGAAAACGTGTGATGTCACCCCTGGCCTTGCACGCTAGTCTAACACCAGCGCTGATAGGCTGAAGACCATGTGTCCAGCTTAGACAGACTTTTTGACTGAAGAGAAGGAGCTGAATACCACCTTGAGCCTCTGAAACTGCTGCTGTCCCTGCACTGGTGCAACTGGTGGGGCTGGGTGTGCGTGACTCTGGACCACCTGGCCTCCATGGGGCTGCACAGCTGCTGGGTGGTGGTGGCTGCTGTGCACGGCTGCTATGGCGGGCCCATGACTGCCGGAGCTCTGGGGCACGGCGGAAACCTAGGGTGGACAAAACGGAGACAAGAAACTTCAAGACATGCAAATTCGTCCCCAAATGTGGGTAGAGAAATAACATACACACATGAGTATACATGTGTACCTTCACATGCTCAGAGATTAAATGAATTAGAAACCAAATGGCACATCTCAGACTATCTGTGGTGAAGACACTGTTTTTCCCCTTAAGTTCCAATTCATACAGGGCTACTACTTTTACAAAGTACAATATAAGTAACTAGATTAAGTGAAACAATAAGTGAATGAGCCCATAATTTCCATTGGTAGCTTTTAACCCCACTTCCAAAGCTTTGTCTATTACTTTCCTCCGGAGGGATGGGAAGGAGAAAGGGAAGGCAGGGAAGGAGAAAGGGAAGGCAGAGAAGGGGAAGGCAGACACACGGTATCCTCGATGGGCCATCACGCCATCTCCCCCAGGCAGTGTGTTCAGGTAGACCCACCATCCAAGCCTGGGTCCTCCCCCAGGGCTCGAGCACTGGGCAGTGGTGCCCACCACCTACACTACTGAGGCTGGGAGGACTTTATGTATACAAAATGATGAGCCAATCACTACAGAAGTTTCTAAATATTCTCACGTTCTGTGCTTTTCCAATGACAGACAAATAACAAAATACAGGCGACTCTGAAAAAACACTGGTTTGTTCGTTTGGTAAATCAGTATGTATTTTTCTATCTAATCTTCCTGGATGCAGCAGAGCAGGATCCAGTGTATCTGGTCTGTTTGTAGCCATGATCATTTTGCCTCTATGCAGAGTATCAAATCCATCCATCTGATTCAGTAACTCCATTAAAGTTCTCTGAATCTCTCTGTCAGCTGAAGTACCCTCAGAAAACCGACGACCACCAATAGCATCTATTTCATCCATAAAAATAATGCATGGCTGATGGTCCCTGCCATAATTAAACATTTCTCTGATCAAACGATTAGATATATTGAAAATGCAGGTCCCATTACAAAACATGGCGAAATAGATTATGAAGCAATTGTGAAGCTTTCAGATGGCTTTAATGGAGCAGACCTGAGCAACGTTTGTACTGAAGCAGGAAACAGGAATGTTTGCGATTCGTGCTGTTTTGTAGCACAGAAAGACTTCATGAAAGCAGTCAGAAAAGTGGCTGATTCTAAGAAGTTAGAGTCTAAATTGGACTACTAAATCTGTGTAATTTAATGTAAGATTTTTGACGGCTGCATGACAGACATTGACTCAACGTAAAAATGAAGTTAAGGAAAATAACGTATGTATTGGCAATAATCTCATTAAAAGTACCTGAATAAAAATATGTATGAGTAACATCATAAAAATATGACTTATTTTATATCATTTGTTTTCCTCATACTAAAAAGGTTGAATAAAATCTGTTTGATTCAGTTCTCCTAAAAAAACAAAACAAAAACAAACAAACAAAAAAACCCCACTGGTTTTAACTGCACAGGTCGAATTATATGTGGACTTTAAACAATATAGTAAACATATTTTCTTTTCCTGATAGTTTTTTTTGTTTGTTTTTTTCTTCAATTTGCTAGAGGATACACAAGCACATGGGAGAAAAACAGAGAAGGAAAGTGAGAAAGCTCACTTAGGGGATGGTCCTGCCGCAATCCCTTCTCCTCCATCTCTCCTCCTTCCAGGATTTTGGCAAGCATGCCTGGCGAGTTTTATAAGCCATGGATTCAGGACTCTAGTTGTGCTGTTAGCCATATGGGACCTAGTTGCCTTAACCACCACACCACTGGCTGGCACAACTTACACTTTTAAATATATATATTTTTCAAAAGTACCTTACAAGGGCCAGCAGGTGGCACAGTGGTTAAGGAGCTGGATTCTCACATGGCCGATAGTGGTTCCTGTCCCAGACTCCGAGGCTTGAAAAATCACAACAAATACTGGTTGGCAGGTGGCTTGGGGGTGGAGGGTGCTGGGCTTCACATGGCTGACTATGGTTCAAGTCCCCAACCTGGCGGCTTGCTTTCTCACTTTTCCTTTCTCTCACTCTGTCCCTCTCTGGTCAAATTAAAATAAATGAATGAATAAATAAAGTTAAATAAAATAAGAAAAATCACAATAAATATTTGAAACACCCCCCCAACAAAAAAATTACAACACAGTATACAACAAAATATTTTAAAATCTAGACAAAACATATAGCAAAATGTTAGTATAGTATTTAATCTTACGTGGAATTAGAAAAGGTTACAGGCTTTTGTTTTATTTTGCTTATCTTTATCTTTTCCCTTCATTCATGACAGAGTATGTGGGCATATGAGTTAGAGAGTGGGGGGTGGAGGGCGAGAGGGAGGAAGGGTGAGAGAGAAAGGGAAGCACCCAGTGTGTCTGGTCACACTGCAAGCTTCTTCCTCTAACCCGTCAGTTCTAGGCACTCATACATATGCCCAGTGTGTCTCGGGCTGGCCCTGGGGATTTGAACCAAAGTCACCGTGTGGTATCCAGCTTCTCTTGAGCAGCTCATTATTACTGTGCCATGAACCTGGCCCTATTCTGCCTATCTATGGTGGGGGTCGGGCTGGTGAGTGAGAAATCACCCTTTGAGGGGATGACCAGGTGCAATCCCTTCTCCATTTTCCTCTTGGGACTTTGGACATGCAGGCACACATGCTCGGCCTGAGTTTTAAGCCATCAAGTCAGGTCCAGGACTTGAACCATACAGCAGCTAGGTGGGACCCAGCGCCTTATCTTCTATACCCGCTGTTGGCCTAAGTATTAGTTCTAAAGTAAAACGCAAGTATTTTTCCAAATTGTTAGTGGTTGGGCCTCGAGTTCTTTTTGTTTTCTATTCATTCTCGCTCTCTCAATCACTCTTTTGTCCTCTTTCAAGTTCAGGGTGAAATAAAAGCTGAAGTCCCTTCCTTCCATTTCTGTTGGAATAAGTGTTATATAAAATGCCCAGAGCTTTTTTATTTTGCTTTTTGAGAACTGTTCGTCACTACAGAAAACAACTATAAACAACATACATGACTGTCCATTCCCAAGTAAGGAGACTAAATAACAAGAAATTTTATTTTTCTAAGCAATGTTAAGTTCTTAGAGCTTAAGAGAGAATAAAGCTTTCATAAAAATTATCCTGGGCAAGGTGATGAAGTGAGGGTAGGAGTGGGAAGAGAGATGGGAGGGAAAAAATAAACCAACTATGTACAAATCCACAGAGGAACACAGACGTAATAGGAATAAAAAGGAACTACTGAGGCAAATTCCAAAGCCCTAAAGGATCTCTTACAAAATGGGCTACGACTCTGAGCTTCCATACTCTGGCATAAATGTTTTTACCAGTTTCCCCACACTTACCTGGAGCGTACAAATCATTGTGATAGCTCGTTTTACACAAGCACACTAGTGTCCAGGAAGAACAGATGTAACTATCCAAAGTGTGGGAAAATAGACATAATCTGTTCAGATAATAAAAATTATCACCCAAAGAAAACAGCACCTCCAAATACTAACTATAAGAGTCAGTCTGGGGGCCAGCCCGGAGCTTGGTGCTTCAGAGAGTTGGATCCCACATGGCTGACCCACACAGTTAGAGTCCTGGACCTGCCGGCTTGACCAGCACATCAGGCACATGTGCAAGCATGCCCAAAATCCTGAAAGGAAGGGATGGGAGAAGGGATTGTGGCATGACTATTCTCTATTGAGGGTGCTTTCTCCTTCTTTCTTTCACACATGTACCTTTTTGCAAATTAAAAAAAAAAAAAATCAATCTATTAGCAAGCTTCTAAGGAAGAATGACACCTAAAGATTTATATTTCAGTACCGGCCATACCTCTCTAAAGGTCACTAACAGGTGCAGACGGAGAAGGCCTCTCAATTTATGTAATAAACTATGTCTTACACTGACCTGGAATGAAATATTATGCATGTATCTTTTAAAAATAATGTCAGGACCAGTGGATGGCATAATGTTTACATCGCTGGACTCCCACATAGTCGAATGCATTTTGAGTCCTGGACCTGGCAGCTTTAAAATGCACACCAGGTGGGTGTGCATTTTAAATCCTGGGAAGAGAATGGAAAAGGGATTACAGCCCCTTGGGGGGTGATTTCTCACTTTCTGTCTCTGGCGAGTGCAAGCACCCTACAACAAAACTCTCTCTCAAAAAAGCACATACATAACATACATACGTACATACATACATACATACATAAATAAAGCCAAGTGCTGAGGTCAGCAGGTGGTGTAGTGGTTAAGGCACTGGACTCCCACATGGCCGGCTGTGGTTAGAGTCCCGGATCCAGTGGCTTGAAACTCACACTGGGAGTGTGCGTGCATGTGTGTGCTCACATGCACCCAAAATCCTAAAAGGAGAATGGAGAAGGGGACTGTGGCACTGCCATCCCCTCTGCAGGGTGATTTCTCACTTTCTCTCTCTCCGGTGAGCACACGCATCCTATAGCAAAAGCTCTCTGAAAATGAAAAACGCCGAGTACAAGGGGTCAGGCCTATAGTCCCAGCCACGAGAGACTAAGGCAGGAGGACTGCCGCAGAGGGAGGCCCTATCTTTGTTTGTTTGTTTTGGTCATAATTAATCAATCTGGTGATACACCACTTTCAAAATAAAGGTTAAAAAAATGAACTTTCTTCCATTTCAATAAAACAGTGTGATCAGCTAGAGAAGAAGGATCAGTGTGGGTCAAGATGTGGGACGACAGGAATACACGATGTCCTGGGGACTTAAACTGGCACACGGCTGAAAAACAACACGGCACTGTCTGCTACTGACACACCCCCCAGACCTGGCAGGCCCTCTCCTGAACACCCGAGAAGTTCCTCCTCCTGTGTGCTCAACTCCTGGCAATCCACAGCAAGCCGAGGAGCAGGCATCACAAAGTGAATCAACCACTTCACTAATGAGCTTGCTGTTTTAACTCCAGAGTTTTTTCTTTGTTTGTTTTTAATAGCAAGACTCTTGATTAAATAAGAAGTCTGTTGATTTCTATTATGGTGCAAGTGTTTTATCTTGTCATCAGTTCCCCTGTTAGTGGCGCTGCACTACAGGATATGCATGGGAAGCTCACAGTGGCACATGTGTAAGAGCAGCAATCTGGAAACAGTAGAACGGGTAAATAAACTGGGTATGTTCCCAAATCCATACCAGTGACAGGGACACAGCTGCAGCTACACAGAGATATATGGCTGAGACTCAGAATCAAGGTTAAGTGAAAACAAGTCAACACAGAAAACATACTTCCACTTACACAAAAGTGCAAAAACATCCAAACTCAGTGATTATGCTACATAGTGATATGCAAAACAAAACTGATTAAGTAAACAACATGCAGCTAAAAGGGGAATGATAAACACAAGTTGGGAGTAAGGGCTCCCTTAAAGGGAGGGAAATGAAGAGGGGTCAGGGAGAGCTGCACAGTGACCTTCAAAGGTCATGACAAGATTCTTTCCTAAGACCTGTGTGGTAAGTACACAAGCATCACTTTCGTCGTATTTTATGCCTTACGTGTACTCCGTCAATTTTTTTAAATATCTAACTCAGCATTTAATACAAGGCTCTTAACTGGATGTCATCCCACCAGTCCTCCCTTGCTGCTGGTGGCCTGGCTGGCTCTGACTCACCTGGTAGCTAGGTGTTACAGAGTACTGAATCCCTGTCGCAGATTGCATGGTCTCAGACACTGCTTCATACACTGGAGGGGCAGGAGCAAGCACCCGGTGCTGGTGAGGAAAGGCCTCTGTGCTGCCAGGGAGCCGACGCTGCTGGGCCGCATATACCGGTGACTCCTGGTCATCCAGACGCCGCTTCATTCTGCGTTCATGCTCGGGGTGCACTATGAAACCTGTGGGACCAAAGGCAGGGACATGAAGTCAACCCTCACTCCAGGGCAAGCTCGACTCCCAGAACTGACTATCTGCTTCACCAAGAGACGACCGCAGGGAGCCAGTCAGGTGCAGTGGTGCACGCACTCCTCCTCCACAAGGAACAGCTATAACCAAAGACGACTAAATCCCAATGACACATGCCCATTAATTTGGTAATGCTGGGTCAAAATGTAACCCCCACTAAAAACACACATATAGCCTTTCCCCCTTGTTTTCTACTCACATGCTACCACACACCCACATGCTGCGACACACTCTTCTGAACGCCAACAAATCCACTGGTAGTGCTACAATTACAGCTGTACTTAACTATGGTTAACCTTAGCTGTGGTTGTCCCAATGATTCAATTGTACTGTGGGAAGAGCACTGGGCAGGAGTAGGACAGGGGTTCCAGACTGGCCCACTCAGGGAGCTACGTACACTTCAACGTTTCTCACTCCCCTTGAGTTCCAGTTTCTGCAACTATAAAATAAGGAACGCTGGACTAGATCGCTATCTGAGTTTTCTTCCAGCTCTTCCTTTCTGTACAAGAAGAGATTCTCTTAGCTTCATACTGCCTCTGTGGAGGATAGCGTCCTTCCGGCAGGACACGAAGTCTAGTAACACTTTACCCAGGAGTCCTCCTGGGTCTTCAGAGCATCTCCACCACTGACACCAGCATAATGAACCATCAGTAAGAAAGAAGGTTCCAGTTGGCCAAAGACAAATGGGCCAAACCTCACTACCTTTCCAGATGTACAAAAAGTCTCTTAAATAAGAGATACCACTCTTGTGGTAAGAAGGTAAAAACTACAGTAATGGGAGCAAGCCACCCCTCACCTGAAGTAAGCCTCTTTTTCTTGGAGAGGATTTTGTTATAGGGCACATGTACTCACCAGAAAGAGAGAGAGGGAAAGCGAGAAATCACCCCCCAGGGGAGATGGCCACGCTACAATCCCTTCTCCATTCTCCTCTCGGGATCTTGGGCACACACATACACGTGCCCGGCGTGAGTTTAAGCCACCAGGTCCGGGACATGAACTGCGGTCGACTACATGGGAGTTCAGCGACATAGCCATTACGCTAACTGCTGGTCGCCTTGCTGTTGGTTTTCACTCCCAGTAACGGTCACCACTACCGAATGACTGAATTTTCCCACAGAAACACTGTCCAGCAAGCTGCAGATCTACACTTGGATAGATGCAACCTTAAAAGAACTGACTAGTTTAGTAAAAGAAGTCTACAGAAGCTAGAAAGAAAAGAGCACACCCTTCAATTCTGCAAAAAAATTTTTTTATTATTTTTTATTTTTTTAGAGAAAGATTTTTGCTATAGGGTACATGCCCTCACTGGACAGAGAGACAGACAGAAAGCAAGAAATCACCACGGGGCGGGGGGTGGTGGAGGGTGGATGGCCACACTGCAATCTCTTTTTCTCCATTCTCCTCTTTGGATTTTGGGCATGCATGCACATACCCGGCGTGAGTTTAAGCCGCTGGGTCCAGGACTTGAAAACACTGTTGACTACGTGGGAGTCCAGCAATGTGGCACTGGACTGTCCATCTGCTTGTCCTGAAGTTTGCAACTATTTTTACAGACCTTAAAAGACTTAGCTATCAAGTGAAGGGATCGGCAGCACCATGTCCAGCAGAAAGGGGACTGATGATTCCATGACCCTGCAGTTGCCAAAGTTCCAAATAGGAGATTATCTGTACGAAGCAATCAACCCTCCAAAGTAGGCACCACCTCTTTCAGGGCACATGAGACTATATTAAGTTCTACTTACTATTTCTTGAATTTATTTTTCAGTTAGTTATGTAAAATAAATTTACATATACTTCCCCCCGATTATTGCCATTAAGCCTTTAGATTCTACTTTTTTTTTTTTTGGAGAGGTTTTTGCTATAGGGCGTGTGAGATCGCCAGACAGAGACATAGAGACAGAAAGCAAGAAATCACCCCCCAGGGGGGATGTCACGCCACAATCCCTTCTCCTCCATTCTCCTCTCAGGATCTTGGGCACGCACGCACTTGTGCCCAGCGTGAGTTTAAGCCACCAGGTCTGGGACACGAACCACGGTCGACTATGTGAAAGTCCAGCAACATAGCCATTACGCTAACTGCTGGTTCCCAAGCCTTTAGATTTTAAACAAGTTGTAATGCAACTATATAGGAGTTAGGTTTGGATATGTTATGGTACGAATATTAATAGAAAGTCTGTATGTTAAGTCCTTCTGTAAAATATTTTTAAAAATGTAAAACTATATTGTTAGGTATTATGTGTGTGATCAGAAAGAGAGAGAAAAAAAAAAAACACAACAAAAAAACACACTGAGAGCGGCAAGCAGGTGGAATAGTGGTCAAGGGGCTGGACTCCCATGTGTTCGACCACGACTTGAGTCCTAGATCCAGTGACTTGAAACTCATGCCGGACGGATGCGTGCAAGTCCAAAACCCCACAAGGAGAATGAAGGAGAGGGGGTTGCAGTGTGGCCAACCCCCTGGGAAGTGATTTCTCTCTGTCTGTCTATAGCAAAAATCTCTAAAAAAAAATTTAAGAAAGAACGAACACACTGGGGCACATGCACACATACACCCAGAACCCTGAAAGGAGGATGGAGAAGGGATTCCAACAGGGCCCTCTCCCTTAGGGGAAGAGGGTGGTCTCTCAATTTCCCTGTCTGTCTCTAATGAGTGCTTGTGCCCTATAGCAAAAACTTAAAAAAAAAAAAAAAAAAAAAAAAAGCAACTTGTGAGGCAAACTCTCAGGGAGAAGGCTAAAGTGAACGTGAACAAGGGCTGGCAGCTGACAGTGGTTGAGCTGCTGGACTCCCACATGGCAGACTGAGGTTCAGGTCCTCAATCTGGTGGCCCAAAATCACAACAAATAGAATAATTTTTTTTTTTTTTTAAAGTTGGGACCAACAGATGGTGTGTACTGGTTACATCACTGGACTCCCATGTAGCCAACTGCAGTTAGAGTCCTAGACTCAGTGGCTGGTGAGCACACGTGCCCTATAGCAAAAAACCTCTAAAAAAAACAAAAACTCACACCAAGCATGTGTGTGTGTGCGTGTGTGTGTGTGTGTGCCTAAGATTCCAGGAGAAGAGGGGAATGCGGTGTGCCCATCCCCTCAAAGGTGATTTCTTGCTTTCTGTCTCTGTCTCTCTGGTAAGCGCAGACACCCTATAGCAAAGTCTCTCTTAAAAAAAAAAAAAAAAAAGGTGAATGAGAACAGACACTGAAAAGCCATCTGTCCCTGTGTGATATGAGAGAGTAAAACACAGCTCAAATCACCAGAGGAAACATAATTCCCAAACAAATCAGAGAGCAGGGTGGTTCAGACATTTCAGGGAACTTGTGGAGAAGGCTTAGAACAAGTGGGGACAAATCTGACACATTTCTAACAAATGTTGGAAGGACAGAGGCAAAGCAAACATTTCAGAACAAGAAAAGCTACTTTTAGGTCCTACAATCTAAAACATTTAACAACAATGAAGAGTGGGTTTCCTAAAAATCTAGATATTGCGCCACGATTATTAAGATCCAAATGGGGAACAAGCAGGTGGCGTAATGGTTACGTTGCTAGACTCCCACGTGGCTGACTGAAGTTCGAGTCCCAGAGCTAGCAGCTTGAAACTCACGCTGGATGTGTGTGTGTGTGTGTGTGTGTGTGTGTGTGCATGCCCAAAATCCCAAGAAGAGACTGGAAGAGAAGGGACTGCAGTGTGGCCATCCTCCCAGGGGATGATTTCTTGCCTTCCATCTCTCTCTCTGTCTGTCTCTCTGGAGAGCACATGTGCCCTATAGCAAAAATCTCTCTTTAAAAAAAAAAAAAAAACAAGTGGAAGGCCTGGCCATGGTGACACAGGTGGTGGCATGCAGAGCTATTGTGCTGAAGCCACATCACAACAATGGTTCACATCCCCAGCCTTGTCAGCCTGATATGCGCTGTGGTCGTGTGCATAAGCACCCATGATCCGAAGAGCTGGCAGACTGGAGGAAGGGGCTAAGTGTGACCAAATTCCAGACAGAGTGTTTCTCCCTGCCCCCTCAAGTGTGCACACTTGCTCTATCATGAATAAGAAAAAATTGCAAATGGAAAACTTTTTTTTTTTTCCATAAAGTGCACATAAAGTGTGTCCTGATCAGTCTGTTTCATTAGATGAATTCTCTTGGGGAAAAAATGGCAAGTTTCTCTTCAAAACCAAAAAAATTTTTATCAAAATGTACAGTGAATGTAAATTGAACCCAGTACAAATGCCTATAATAACAGTCTACTTCAAAACCTGTCCAAAAATCTACCTCTGGATTTGACTCTGCCAAGAAATGGAATCTATTCCAGAATAAATGAGAAGCACTCTGTTTCCATACCTCACATTACTGAGCACTGTAACTCAGCAAAATTAAAAACCCACTCTTCTTAGCTTAACACCCGATCCTCCCCAGAGCTTGGTCTTACACCGTTCTAAGGCAGTGCCCACAACAAGGGGAGATTCTGCCCCCCCACAAGGCACACTCAGCAATGATGAGAGACATCTACGGTGCCACCACTGGGAGACAGGGAGTGCTACTGGCACCTCACGGATGTTGCCAAATATCCTGCAACCCACGGGACAACTCCCACGCAAGTAACTGGCCCAAAACGTCAAGAATATGCATGCCAAGGTTGAGAAACCTTAAACTAATTTAAGTGTCTGGCAACTACTTTTAGTGAGCCCTGATGAAATTATTCACACCGTGGTGTAACAATTTTTATCAAGGCAGTCCTTGTGCAAAGATACTGATGTTTCTATAGGACTCATTTTCAACCCCCCCAAAAATGACCATTTACCATTTGAGTGAAAGACTTATCAGAAGTTGATCATTTTTTAAAGAATTATTTTACTTAATTTTATTTATTCATTCATTTTTAATTTGACCAGAGAGAGACTAGAGAGAGAGGGGGAGAGAGAAAGAGAGAAAGGGAAAGTGAG